TGCGTATATCTAGTTTCTACTTCTCCTAAGGTCCGACTTATATAATAAATGGGAAATTGCGTACCTCGCTCTTCCCGAACTAGGACACCGCTCAATGCGATTTCCGACACTGCCAAGTACAAGCACAGTCTTTCGTCTGTTTTTGGTGTGTGAAGTAGTGGTGGGCTCGATAGATATTGTTTTAGTTCCTCTAATGCCTGTTGGCATTCCGGGGTCCAAGCGAAACCATTCTTCTTTTTGAGTAGAGAGAAAAATTTGTGACTTCGATCTGATGATCTCGAAATGAATCGGCCTAGGGCTACAATCCGTCCCGTTAGCCTTTGTACAACTTTTACGCTGTCCACGATGGTGATGTCTTCGATGGCTTTGATTTTATCGGTGTTAATCTCGATTCCTCGATTCGACACCATGAAGCCGAGGAACTTGCCCGAACTGACCCAGAAAGCACATTTTTCGGGGTTAAGCTTCATGTTGTATTTCCTCAAAATCTCGAACGTTTCCTGCAAATGGGTCAAATGGTCCTCTGCGCGTAGGGACTTAACTAGCATGTCATCAATATAAACTTCCATTGATTTACCTATTTGTTCTTCAAACATTTTATTTACTAGGCGCTGGTAAGTAGCCCCTGTATTTTTTAGCCCGAAGGGTATCACATTATAACAATATGTTCCATATTTGGTGACAAATAAAGTTTTTTCCTGCTCCTCTGGGCTCATTTGGATTTGATTATACCCGGAATAGGCATCGAGAAAAGTGAGGATCTCATGGCCGGCCGTGGCATCTATCATGCGATCGATGTTGGGCAGCGGAAGAGAATCTTTGGGGCATGCTTTGTTTAAATCCTTATAGTCCACACACATTCTAAGTTTCTTTCCTTTTTTAGGCACTACAACTATATTAGCTAACCATTCGGGATATTTCACCTCCCGAATGGACCCTATTTTGAGAAGTTTGGTTGTCTCGTCTTTTATGAATGCGTGTTTTACCTCGGATTGGGCCTTCTCTTTTGCTTCACCGGTCTGAACTTAGGGTCCAAGCTTAGCCGATGCGTTGTTATGTCCGATGGAATCCCTGTTATATCTAAATGAGACCAGGCAAAACAATCAATTTTATCGATAAGAAATTGAACAAGTTTCTTCCTGAGTTCGGGGTTCAACCCCGTTCCCAAGTATACCTTTCGCTCGGGCCAGTGATTGATTAGTGTGACTTGCTCTAGTTCCTCAATTGTTGATTTGGTGGCATCGGAGTCATCGGGAATCATGAAAGATCGAGGGACCCTTTGATCATCATCTTCTTCGATCTTCTAATTATCTGGCTGGGTCGAAGGCGACTTCTGTGATTGCTATTTGGTGTCCCATTCTCCTTTTGAGCCCGATCCCTTTATTGGCGAAGGCGAGGATATTGATTTCGCTTCCTCGACAACGAACATTTCTTTTGCGGTTGGTTGTTCTCCGTACACTGTTTTGACAGCTCTCGATGTTGGGAATTTGAGGACCTGGTGTAGGGTCGAAGGTACAACCCTCATGTTGTGGATCCATGGCCTTCCGAAAAGGGCATTGTATCTCATGTCGCCTTCGATCACGTGAAACTTCATTTCCTGGATGGTTCCGACCACGTTTATTAGTAGGATTATCTCGCCTTTGGTGGTTTCACATGCCATATTGAATCCGTTTAGAGCCAGAGTTGCGGGTACGATCTGGTCCTGCATGCCGAGCTATTCTACAACCTTCAATCTGATGATGTTGGCCGAGCTACCTGGATCGATCAACACCCGCTTAACTTTAGTTTTATTCATGAGTACGGATATTACCAGTGCATCGTTATGAGTTTGAATGAATCCTTCTGCATCTTCATCATCAAAGGACAAAGTCCCTATGGGTGCGTAATCTTGAGTTCGAGATCGCTTTTCCCTCACAACCGATATTTTAGTGCGTTTAAGCATTGGTCCCTGAGGGGTATCGACGCCGCCGATGATCATGTGAATGACGTGCTGCGGTTCTTCTTGTTCATTTTGCTTGCCGAAATCCTTGTTTTTAAAATGGTTCTTCGCCCTCTCACTCAGAAATTCCTGAAGGTGCCCTTTGTTAAATAAGCGGGCTACTTCCTCTCTTAGTTGCCTGCAATTTTCCGTTCTGTGGCCATGGGTGCCATGATATTCACATGTTTGATTGGGATTCCACTGGGTAGTATCGGTCTGCATGGGTCGAGGCCATTTAGTGTCTTTGATGCGTCCAATAGCCGATACGATGGCGTATGCATCAACGCTGAAGTTATATTCCGATAACCGAGGTGCTTCCTTAGATCCGGCAGGCCTATCGATACTGCTTCTGTTTAGCAGCCCTCGAGAGCCATGACTTCGATCGCTTCTTTTGTTATTTTTCCTGAGGTTATGTCTCGATTCACTGACTCTGCGACTTTCGTTGTACGGTTGGTATCGATCTCCAATCAGACCTCGTTCCCGATTAGTAACCCCTCAAACAGCAGGTTCAGACCCCAATTGATCATCTTCGAGCCTAATTTTCGATTGGTACCGATTGTGCACGCCGGCCCATGTGATGGCTAGGTATTCGATCAGGTTATGATTTAATCGTCGTTAAGCCGTCGAACTTTGTTCGTTCAAACCTTGAGTGAAAGCCTGAACGGCCCAGTCGTCTGTGACTGGAGGCAGGTCCATTCGTTCCATTTGAAAACGAGATACGAATTCCCTCAGCATCTCATTATCCTTTTGTCTTACCTTGAAGAGGTCCGACTTCCTTGTTGCGACTTTTATGGCGCCGGCATGTGCTTTCACAAAAAAATCTGCTAACATGGAGAACGAGTCGATGGAGTTCGGCGGTAGGTTGTGATACCAAATTATCGCCCCCTTCGAGAGGGTCTCTCCAAATTTTTTCAGCAACACAGATTCTATTTCATCGTCTTCTAAATCATTGCCCTTGATGGTACATGTATAAGAAGTGATATGCTCGTTGGGATCGGTAGTTTCGTTATATTTGGGTATTTCTGGTATACAAAATTTTTTGGGGATTGGTTTTGGGGCTGCGCTCGAGGAAAAGGGTTTTTGCATGAAATTTTTCGAATCTAACCCTTTTATCATTGGTGGAGCTTCCGGGATCTGATCGACCCTAGAGTTATAAGTTTCTAGTTTTTTATCGTTGGCTTCGACTCGCTTTGTGAGTTCCTCGAGTAATTTAGTAATTTCGGGAGTAGTCCCCGATTCTTGCTCATTTAACTTCACTATGGCTGGTTCCGTTCTGTGAGGTGATTTCTCGGGGTAGATTGGGCTCCAACCTGCTTTGTAGTTGGGTTTGGCTTTGCAATTGGGCTATTGCTGCCTGTTGGGCTTGCAACATTACGAAAATCATACGCAAGCTAACACTGTTTTCCTCGACGTTGTGAGTATCTCGAACCGCTGACCGAGTTCCATCATGGATGCTATTCTCGGTTTCGACATATAGGTTCGCCTCAATGGCTACGTGCGAATTGACATCAATTGGCGCTCCGATTTGAGCTCCAACGGTGTTCATTAGTGGTCTTTTAGTACTGGGTGTCAAGTTGTTGTTTTCGTCTTGAAGACCAATCCCGTTATCGACCGGTGAAACCATTTGATTGATGGTTATTCGTAGCTGATCCGAAATTCAAGATATTTTCGGAAATAAGCGCAAAACACAATGGCATGTTTTTTGAGAGTCGTATCAAATAACCACTGTTATCCTTGCCCCCACGGTGGGCGCCAAACTGTTTACCTGAAAAATAGATAGAGTTGAATTTATACGTAGTTCCAAGGATATGTGGCGTAACTTAATACAAATTGCAAGGATAAATAGAAATATAAATATGGATTGCAAAGAATGTGAAGTAGATAAGGTTATAAGGAACAATGAATCTCAGGACTCAACAAATAGAATTAATTTAAGAAATTCGAAAGAACGATTCTTTACTGTAGAAGAATATAGCATTTTTATTACAATGTAAGCGTGGGAAAACTTGCCCCTTGATAAATAATAACCATGCCCTTTATAATAGAGAGACCTTGCTCTAAGCATAATAAAAAAATACTCAGTGGAAGATCCATGATAAACCAGCTTTTCCACAATTTCTGCTAAGATTCTCGCTAGTGGGATTGCAACGGCTTTTGTCTGTGAGCTCGATCTTGCCTTGAGCCTTCGATCTTGGTTTGAGCTCGATTCTGACTCGAGCTTTTGATCTTGGCTCGAGCTCGATTCTGACTCGAGCTCTCGAATTGATTCGGGGTCAATGCTGGTCGGTCTCTGGATCATAAACATGATAGCTTTACTCTGCGTCATAGTTCGATTTGGACTATAGCTCGAAAACGATGTTCAACTCGACATGGGTCGGCCCCTCAGGTTCGAGTCTTGTTTGTTCCATCTTTGGAGTCTCAGTTCGATCGACCATCATTCGAACTCGATCGGACGTGCGAAGGCCGAAATGTATTTCGACCATATACACCACCAAAATATTTGCCTAGGCTTGGGATACTTATTTTCTGTTCACTAACCAAACGTGAGCTTTCAATTCTTTCTTGCTTTTTCCAAGTCTACGAGAGAATTGATATGATTAATTATTGTACAAACACTGACTAATCAGTAAAACTGTAACACAAGACACTTTCCTGGTATGTGAATAGCCCACGAAACTAGCTTTATCTTACAATTAGTTTTAGTCAAAATTGAATTCGAGATCTAGTGAAAACATTTTTATATTTCTTATATTTATGACAATGCAGAGATTTGAATGTGGGTGACGAGTGCATATAAGTCATCTTATTATCCTAACCACCGTTTGACGTTACCACATATATTGAAAACTGAAATGGAGGTGTATACTTTACATCTGAAAAGAGTACAGTTCATTCTCAATAGAAGCTTCGCATTTCTTCTCCTTTTCCAGCTCATGTGGGATGTAAGTTTCAAATGGACCAGCATTTTATAACTAATAAAACCTCCAACCACTCATAATTATAGACTTACAATTAATTGAGGATTAGTCGCCAGTCAACTTGGAAGCATAAAAAAAGATGCAACAACTGAATTGTTGATCAAGAAACATTGCATTTTCTTGGTTGTTAAGACACTCGTGGTTCCCATCTATAAAAAGAAGACAAAAATTCAAGAATCAAAACCCACCACATAAATTTCCTTTCCTTAAACATAGTAAAGTAATAATCCAGACAACTTAATTATTGAGATGGCAGAAGTGAAGTTGCTTGGTGTTTCACTCAGTCCTTTTAGTCGCAGAGTTGAGTGGGCTCTGAAGATTAAGGGTGTGGAATATGAATTTATAGAAGAAGACCTACAAAACAAGAGCCCTCTGCTTCTTCAATCCAATCCTGTTCACCAAAAAATCCCAGTGCTAATTCACAATGGAAAACCCATTTCTGAGTCTATGATCATTCTTGAATACATTGATGAAACATTTGAAGGCCCTTCCATTTTGCCTAAAGACCCTTATGACCGAGCTTTAGCTCGTTTCTGGGCTAATTTCCTTGATGTTAAGGTAAGGTTGAATTTGCTTTTGCTCAATTTAACTTGTCCTTTTTCTTTTAAATATCGCCTTTAATTGTTAATTTGAACCTCTGCTACGTCAATCTTTAAGGTCTGTGTATAAATAACTTCTCCCTGGACCTCAACCGTAAAATTACACTAAGGTTGTTATTGTTATTGTTGCTATGTCAATATTTTTTTTTCATTTTTCTTGCTCTTGCCTTCTTTCAATTGGAAATTATGGTCGTGCTATTACCGGTGGCAAAGCCGCAGGTTGAATCAAATTTGGGCTGGTCAAAACATAACAACAACAACAACAATATATTCCCACAAGGGTCTAGTCAAAACATGTCAAGATAATATATAGCTTAGGCAAATTGTGCGGGTTACAAGTAAATTTATATAATTCTCAATCTCAATTTTGATTTTGTATGCTTAGCTTTGGGTTGGATTTTAAGACGTGGTGGGGATACATTGTTTTAACCCATATCGATTCAACCTGTTCTATCAAGTCAATAAATAAGTCATAATCCAACCTGTTTAAGTTTGGACGAATTACAAATAAATGGATTGGTTTGGACCTCTAATCGGGCAATACATACCAATTTGCAGAATATATTTGATAAAAGTAGAAATGTTTAGAACTCAAGATTTGAGCTTTTTGCAGTGCATAACTACAATTGGAAAAGCTTTATTTGGCAAAGGAGAGGAGTCAGACAAAGCTAAGGAGGAGTCTAGTGAACTGCTAAAGATTCTTGATAATGAGCTCAAGGACAAAAAATTCTTTGTAGGAGACAACTTTGGATTTGCTGATATAGCTGCTAATTTGATGGCATTTTGGCTGGGAATTCTTGAAGAAGCCTCTGGAGTAATTTTGGTGACAAGTGAAAAATTTCCCAATTTTTGTGCTTGGAAAGATGAGTATATTAACTGCAGCCAAGTTAAGGAATATTTACCTTCAAGGGATGTGTTACTTGCCCATTTTCAAACTCGCTTTCAAACTGCAGCAGCTCCCAAATAAAAACACTTTTTTATTTGCGAATTACCATGATTTGGTTGTGGCAATAAAACTACTTATTTAAGAAAACTAGCATAGCCAGCTTTTCACAGAGTAGGTAGTATCTTGTGTATTTGTTTTGCTGCTTTGTCAATGATTTTGTGTGATTGTAATTTCTTCCAGCTACTAAATGATAAGAGTCATGTTTTATTTTTTATCTTCGCCTTTCCAAACAAGTGGAGTTTGAAACAAAAGATTTTTTTAGGGGCAAAGTTAAATTAGTGCCAAAAAATCTTGCTCCCAAATTTTAGTGGTCCCCAGTTTTAGCAATCATAGACTTACAGCTTTTCTTTAAGAAAAATTATGAGTACTTTCTGTAGAAAAGTAAAGTTTTTCATATAAAAGGAAAGACACTTATAAATATTTTTCTATTACTTCAGACAAACATTCCGAATTTTAGAAAAAATATCAAAATTTGATCCAAATATTAGGCAGAGTTACCCTCAAAATGGAGCACCAGCTAAAATAACAGAATAAAATAACAAAATGGCCCTTCATCTTTAATTTGAGGTCTCATATTCGATCTCTAAAAATAAAAAAAAGTTCTAATAGAGAGCATTTTTCTTTCATGAGCCATACGAATCCGAATAAATCGAATGAGTAAACTCCAAATAATGGATACTAATTAAGAAAAAAATAAAAAGTACCTCATATTCTTTAGACGTATAATCTGTTTGGCCAACCTTCTTTTTGGACCAAAAATGCATTTTAATATTTGACCAAATTTTTGAAAGTTACACATAAGGGAGAGTTTGCGGAGCTTCCGGTACCTGCTTGCCGCCATAAGGGTATTTTGGGAATTTACTCATTATGTACTAACGGGTGTTGCAAAGTAGTTGGAGCAAAAATGTAGCATGACATTTTTTTAAAACGTGGTCCCCATTTTGACTTTTCCTTCGGCATGTCACTAACCAAATTGTTTTTAATAGCAACATGACAAAGTAAAAGGTAATCAAGGATAGTAAGTAAGTTTCAAAACCAAAGCCGGCGAAGTCAGTTTTTAGAAAACTTTTGTTGTAAATAAAGAATGATTTCTTCCTTAAAGTAAAAAAAAAAAAATTAAAACTTTTCAAAAATATTTAGAAGATATAATTCAACACCAAGGAAGCGAACTTCTCAAAACTTCACCGCATAAAGTTTTAAATATTAAAAACTAAGCAATTGTTTTAGAACAAATCTATGTACTCTTTGAATAGAAAAAAGGTACTTCTAAGAGAATCACTTCATTCAGTGAATGTTAAAGAATAAATGAAGGAATACTATAATAATTTAATGATATTTTACCATTAATATATGTATTTACTTAAAATAATTAAGATATCCAAGAATGTCGATATATTATAATGCGTTATTCGATGGCAGCTTGACTAATCTAAAGTCATCATTCATAAATAAAGTATGAATATATATGTGCATTTTCCTTAATTATTTGTTCTAAAAAATTTATAATTTCTTCAGTTATAATGTATTACTCCTTAAACAACTCAACAACAACAACAATCCAGTAATATCCCACGTGTGGGGACTCCCTAAACAACGCAAGTCCAAATTTTTTCAAAACGTCCTAACTGACATGCTAATGATTAATTAAAACAATTATAGAATATCGACCGAAGTCAATCGAAAATTTTAATTTATTTTTTCCCGCCCTGCGTCAATTATTTTTTTTGATAATAAAAAATTATTTTTCATATAATTATAAAAATACTGACAGAAGTCGGTCGAAAATTTTAATTTATTTTTTTCTGCTCTGCATCAATTGTTTTTTTTTATAATAATTTTTTTTACATATAATTATAAAAATACCGACCGATGTTAGTCAAAAATTCAAAAAAAAAATCCGCCCTGCGTCAATTATTATTTTTGATAATAAAAAATTAATTTTAATATAATTATAAAAATACCAACCGAAATCGGTCGGTATTAGTGGTCCAAATAATCAAACACTTATAGATTATTGTTGCTTACAATCTACATATATATAACATCCTAAATTATATATATATCTATGTATGTCCGATTGTGTGATTTGACCGAGTATATGTTGTTGTTGCTACAACTTAAGTTTTAATATAGCACTACATCTTATAACACTATACATTTTATTTTTAAATAAGTTACCGATCGAAATCGGTCGGTATTAGTGGTCAAATGGTCAAACATTTATAAATTAATTATTGTTACTTACAATCTACATATACATAACATCCTAAATTGTGTGTATATATATTCTCCAATTGTGTGATTTGACAGAGTATATATTGGTGTTGCTACAACTTATGTTTTAATATAACACTACATCTTATAACACTAAATATTTAATTATTTTTAAATAAGTTACATATATAAATCGGTCGGTATTAGTGGTCAAAATGGTCAAACACTTATAGATTATNTATATATATATATATATATATATATTAAATATTAGATATTATTTATTTAAAAGCTATTTGTATAAATTGACTAAAATCGACCGACTTCGATTGGTATTTTCATTAAATTAATTTTTTTTTAAAAATAAAACTGAAATACCGATCGATTTCGGTCGGAAATGTGTGGTCAAACGGTCAAACACTAACTTAAATATACCGACCGTAGTTTTCGACCAAAGTCGGATGGAAAATTTTAATTTAGGGTGCCAATAGATGGGTTTCTTCCCCATTTTTCTCTTTTCTCTTTCTCTTTCTCTCACTCTTTCTTCCACATCCGTGAACCCTTCTCAAACCCCACCCAAATAAACTCATCACCCCCTTCTCACCCAAAATCAAACCCCCTACTTCGTCTCTCCCCGTTCTCCGTTGGTCCCACCCCTGCTGCGCCATCACTGCTCCTCCGCCACCACTGCCGGGCCATCCACTACCGCGCCACTCCCAAAATCAGACCCCTCTGCTCTCTTTGAAGGTTAGTTATCTACATTTGTTGATTTTAGTTATTTAAATTCTTTCAATTGTATAAACTAGGGTTTACAATTTGTGATTTTGGAATTATTTAAATTTATTTATAATTTTTTAGATTTAGGATTTACAAAATCATGATTTAGGGCTTATTAAACTATGATTTAGAAAATATTAAATTATAATTTAGGATTTATTAATTATGATTAATAATAAGTGAGTTAGTCTAATTGAATGACTTAACTAATTCAATATTCTAGTAAGTAAATGTTATACTTTGTAACTAAAGTTTATTATGTAACTTAATTCTATAGTTGTTCTTTATGCAGATGGAATATCATAGTTGGATGTATAATATTAAATTATGATTTAGGGTTTATTAATTATGATTAATAGTTAGTAAGTTAGTGTAATTGAATGACTTAACTAATTCAATATTTTAGTAAGTAAATATTATACTTTGTAACTAAAGTTTATTATGTAACTTAATTCTATAAATTAATTTGAATTATGATTAATATAACATGTAATTTATATGTTCTTTATGTTGATGGAATAACGTAGTTGGATATATAATAAGAATTATCCTAATCGTCGAATTTTGAGGTAGGAATTTATAGAAGAGGTTAAGGAATTTATTAAGTATGCAATGTCACTTGAACCATTTCGGATAGGAGGGATGATTAGGTGTCCTTGTACGAAATTCAAGTGTTTGAAATTTTTGGGTTCGGAGGATGTTACGACCCATCTTTATAGAAAAGGGGTTTATGGATAATTATTTTATGTGATCTATTCATGGAGAGGTTGATGGTACTGATGGTGTATTTCATAAGGTAATTGTTGGTGAAAGTAGTATATCGGTGGAGAATAGCATTCAACATCCTAGATACCATGAAATGGTTGCGGATGCTTTTTGTCACGACCCCAAATTTTTCTCCTTAGGATATCATGATGGCACCTAGTCTCTAAGACTAGGTAAGCCTATCAATATGCGGAATAATCAAAATATCAATTAAAAACTTTAAAAATCTCAATCTCTCAGTACATAAAGAAATTTTCAAAACTCGGTGAAAATACAAGTCACAAGCTCTAAAGAAGAAGTACGAATATCTTTATACATCAGAGTCTAATGTGAATAGGGAAAACAACATAATAAGGATAGAAGGGGACTCCGAGGTCTACGGACGCGGGCGTATATACCTTGAAGTCTCCGCGTTCAGCTAGATCACTGATACCTGATCTGATAGGAAGTACCTAGATCTGCACAAAAAGATGTGCATAAGTGTAATATGAGTACACCACAGCGGTACCCAGTAAGTGCCAAGGCTAACCTCGGTAGAGTAGTGACGAGGTTAGGTCAGGCCCTACTGAAATAATAAAAGACATGGTAATATGTCTAATAATATAATAACAATAAATGACAATGGAAGCGAATCAAGTAAATAATATGTCACCATTAAATTGCACAGAATAAGGGCAAATAATACCTCGTGGAAAGAAAACAGAAATTTAGAACTTTAAGAAAAATCACGATAATAATCAAAGACAGTTGCGGCCATAAAAAAAAAATATCAACAAGGGTACTCCCGAGGTACTGCCTCGTAGTCCCAAATAATAAATAATTTCACAATAACTCATTTTCTTATATCAACGCGGGAGCCTTCACATTTAATTTTAAAGAAAATATTTTTTCGAAATAGCATCCCGCGTTTTAGCCACCCTTATCATACGGCATGACTTCTAGTAGTTCCCCTACTAGTCACGTGTATCAAGCAACCTTTATCTCACCGCATGCGTTTCAACACCAAACCTTATACCACCGTATGCATATCAATATCACAATATATCACAATCTGCACCTCAAGTGCTCAAATATTTCAATTTGCCAAAATAAACAATATCAATAATATTTCCACAACAGGGAGCTCACGGCTCAATCACAATGAGTACAAAAATCTCACAAAAATATTCGGGAATAAATAACTCAACAAAATAATATTTCAAAATTTTTAATACGTTGCTTCCGTACCAAATTTAGAATATCAAATACATCATATTAATAATATTTAAATTTAAGAAATTCAACCTTCAAATAATGCACAGAATCAAAGAAACCAAGTTTCAACTAAACAGGTAAAACAATTAGCAGGAAAAGGTCAAGCAAGTTTAAAGTATAAAACTTAGATCAATGGTGAAGAATATATAAGATAAAATAATTTAATTAATTTTAAACAGTGATCTACAAAAATTTGAATACATA